GGTCAAAATGTTGGAATCCCTTGCCAAGAGACAACGTGGATGTACCTTCACCACACTGAATTGCAACACCTTCTCAAGGGTAATTAGGCATAGGGAATAAATGTTGGCCTTGACAGCAACACCCACTTCCTGCAAATGACTGCAAAAGTTATATGCCAATAATCCTAGGCAAATGGTAGCATTGCTCAAGGGAAAATAGTTTTGCAATGAAAAGACAGACTGCATTCTTGAACCCTTGTCTTTATGACTTCTCTTATACAAGCATATTTGATGAAGCCATCAGAATGGACAGAAAGATGACTATCCAGTTCAATTTTGAAGCAAAATTGATTCAATCTACAGAGGCTCCAGTCCAGGTCAAAAAGACTACAAAGAAATTCTTCAGAATCTCATCTTCATGTTACAGAGAACTGATGAAAGAAAAAATCTTGCATTTTTATAATGGCTCATGTCACTGTGGACGATTGAGGACTTTTAAAACTTAGTAACTAACATAATATAGGAAATGTGTACGGTAATTAGATAAAAATCAGATAATCCATTAGAGTGATGAGGGCCAGAACTTAGGAAGAATTCCCCAATCTTCTTTGAATATGGTGATGGATTTCTATTCCATCCGAGAGGACTGATGGGGCCATGAATGTAATGTTGTAGCTGAAAGATGGCATTTTCAACAGTGCAGCACTCTATCACTAAGATCACAGCCTGAATTTCAAACAAGTGTCGACAGTGAGGCTTGACATGATTTCCTGACTCAGATGCAAAAAAGCAACTCACTTGAGCCAGTGGCTATACGTGAATATTGCAACATGAAAAGAGATTCTTCTGCCAACCTGTTCAGGTTGGAGTTTATTCTCTTTATCACCAGCATCAACCAGTTCTTGTATCTCAAGTCCTTTATGTGATTGGATTATGCTTTCCCATTTTGGTACTGTCTGTAATTTTTCTGAATGTCACTTCCTCTAAGCTAATATTGAAATCATGAACGTACACAGTGAACAGAAATGGTCCCAAATCAGAACCCTGTGAAACATCACTGTTCACGCTCCAACCACTTGCAACTTATCCAGTTAGAAGCCACATTTGAAAATGAGATGGAATAGGCTGATCAAGAATGGCAAACAGGTTCCACAGATTGTCTCCCGAGTTGAAGAAAGGAAATGGGGGAAAAGATATATTCCTTCAAAAAGATTCTCAACCACTATGAAATACAGAAGAACCTTGGCCTCGTTTGAACGAGTAAAATGAAATAGATGGATTGCAATTTAATTAAAAAATAGAATGTAGTAAAAACAAAATCCAGTGAAAGCTCTAGGAAATGAGGCTGTGCTCAAAGTATTTAGATGGAAGATATTGCTGTGCTGTGACGTGAGTGGGGATCTGAGGTCCGATGGAGTTTGATCCCAGCAGGGCCACCAGAGATCAAAGGTTTAATCTGTCTTGCAACTATTGTCTGGCACGATGGAACTGAATCTGTAACAATGCATAACCCTAACCCTATTTTCAGGCCAAAGACTTCAAGAAAACAACTATTAGAAGTAGCTTTTCAACTTTCTGTTTTCTAATTTCTACTCTTTCCTTCTGTCCTCATTCTCCAGCTTCCTCTCACCCATCCTTCGAGATTTTGCATTAATACAGCTGGAATATGGACACAGTCAGTGATTAGACTCAATCAATAGATCGTTTTGCTTTCTTTGGCAGAAGCTGGACCTTGATTGATGAAGCCTTCTTTTAAATCTCAACATTGGTCTACATTTAGATCGTACCTTTACCGTAAGAAAATGTCCCACAGTAATTCAAAACCAAGGATGACATGAGACAATGATAGGCCAAACAGCCAAAAGCTTGTTTAAAAGTGGGTTTAAGGAATATCTCTTAAGGAAGGAGAGGTAAAGATTTGGAGAGTAAAGGCAAAATACTGTACATGCTGGAAATATGAAACATACAGAAGACTGGAGAAGAGTTATACCAGATTCATAACATTAAATCTGTCTCCACAGATGCTGCATGATCTGCTGAGTTTCTCCAGTGTGTGTCAAATTTGGAGAGGTTTAGTGAGGGAACTGCACAGTTTAGACAGCTGATGGTATGGCTGTCAATGGTGGCAAAATTAGGATCACAGATGCTCAGGCCAGAATTAGATGAGAATATGTATATTTCAGGGTTATGGGAGGGAAGAGATTACACAGAAAGGAAACTGGGTCAACCCTGGAGAGATTTTTAAAGAAAAACAGGAATTTTAAAATCAAAGCATTGTTTGATGGGAGATAGTGTAAGTCATGAGAACAGGGGTGATAAATGAAAGGGACCTGCATACGGGATGAGTAATAGCTGGGGCAAAGTCAGGTAAAATTATGGACATGATAGAGTAGAAGCTCAAAAAGGGGTGGAAGAGAGAGAGAGAGAGAGAGAGAGAGAGAGAATGAAAGAGAGCGAGTGGGGGAGGGCAAGAAGCTATGGTTCTTATGGACAAGATTAACTGGGGACAACACGAGGGGAGATAGGAGACTCTTGTACAGAATGAGAGTTCTGTTGAAATAAAATCTATCTGAACTGGTCACATAGGTATCCGTGTTGGTTTGGGCAATTGTCAGGTTCTTGTGTTTCTTCAAGTACTTTAAAAATAAAGTGTTCACATCACACTTGAGACAGCTGTGCTGGAACAATAACTCACTCTGCTGCGGATGCTATTCCCTAAAGGTTTCTGGGTTGCATTGTGGTACAACTTCTACGCTGATCTTACAGTGGCAGCAGCTGTTGTAATATAAATAAATCCAATTGATCCTTCTACTGATCTCTGATTCAACACAGAATATTTCCATATTATTGCATCTAAATGTCTGGATTCTGAAAGGAAACTTCAAGCATTGCTCCAGTAGTCCCTTTTTTCCTTTCAGTGGCAATGTTTATATTCCAACTAACTCCTTGTGCCTTTCTTCATAACTGAAGAGGGCCAAAAGAGAACTGGAGAAACATTTTTTAAAAAGGTGGGGTAGAGGGATGTGGATGATGCAAAGGTTTTTGACATCTATGCTTTCAGTTTTTGTTTTAAATCTTGGTCAGGTTATCTCCTCTGGTATTCTGAATTGCCCTCCTCAACTAACCAGTCCTGGACTCCACTAACATTGTAGACTACTACCTTATTTCCAATCTTTCTTTTCCATCTAAAGCTCTTGAACATGTTATCTCTTTGTTCCAGAACTTCATATATGAATCCCTACAATCAGATTTCTGCCCCTGTTTATGCAGCTTTTTATCAAAGTTGCTAATGACATCCTTTGTGACCGTAATTTCTACAAAGCCCTGATGATGCCTTAGCTGGCCTATTGCATTCAGTTCAGGGACCACACTATAGGAGGGATGTGAGGATGTTTGAGAGGGTGCAGTGGAGACACAGAGGAAAAAAGAATCAAGCTGTGAGTGGCTAAGATCAGCATTCCCTCTAATTTCTTTTCTTCTGCTCAGACCTCTAAGGTGCTTGCATGGTAGTGATTTCCGGAACTGGATATCAGTGCTGTGATCCACATCAGCCTTCTGATCGCCATGCACAACAAGATCTTCTATGGGTTAGTCAGTGCATTTAATAAGGAATTGGATCAACATTTGAAGAAAGAATTCGCAAAGCTACAAGGAAAAGATAGAGGGCAGTAGTACTAACCAAATTGCTCCCTGATAGGGCCAAAGACATGATGGGCGAATGGCCTCTGACTAGGTTGTAACCATCCTATGGTCCATCCAGTCCAGGACTGGTATGTTAGAAGTCTGTGTTGCAAAACCTAAACTTTGCCATCAGTGAAATTATGCAGTCCAATCAGCAGTCAGGATAGATTCTTCTAACAACCCAACATGTTGACATCAGGTGACCTTTGAATCGCTGTTACAAAGTTATTCCCTTCTTTGTGCTCTCCATATTTGCATATTAGCTTGCTAAATTTTTGAATGACATTTTATTTCTCTGCAGCAGCTTGAAATGACCGAATAGCTTACTTGACTTTTTTCAGAGGGTGGTTGAGAATCAACCAGAGAAGAGATAAAGATGGCTGATTTTGTTCCCCGAAGGTCATTCGTGAACCAGATGGGTACTTATATTTAAAAAACCTGTCAGTTTCATGATTATAATTAATGAGACCAGCATTTTATTCCATAGATATCTAAAATATTAATTTTGGCTGGGGTTGAGAATGCTGTGATTGTATTTAAATTAATGACCAAAATGTGTAACGCAGATTGTTAGTGTAGCTCTGCAAATAGATACCGTGGGCCATTTCAAATAATTCCTTCAGTTAACTAGAGGCAGCAACTGAAACATAATAAACCGAGTGGATCCCCAGTCCTGGGCTGGTATCAGAGTTCTGGTATCAATCTTAACAGTCAGTGAACTAACCCACTGTACTATTTATCTGAGATGCAAATGGGGTCCTGTATTCTCTACAGCTTGAAAGAATGAGAGATAATCTCAATGAAACCTACAAAATTCTTCAAGGGATAGATAGTAGATACAAGTAAGATAGTTCTCCTGGCTGGGGAGTCTGAAACCAAGGGGCACAATTTAAAAATAAAAGAGAAGCCATTTAGGACCAAGATGAGGAAGAATCATTTTACTCAGAGGGTTGTGCACCTTTGAATTCTCTACCATTTAGAGCTGGGAAATTCCATCTTTGAGTATGTTGAAGTGAGAAATTGATAGAGTTCTGATTACCAATGGTTAACAGGGTTATGATGATGGGGTGCATAAAAAGCATTCAACTGTTCAACCATGAATGGCAGGGCGGAATGGAGGGGCTGAATGGCCTACACCTATTTCTACGGTGCAGGCACAAGCAATCTCAGCCAACAGAAGTTCCACAATTGATAACTAGCTTAGGGAGATGGAAAATTGGAACAAAAAAAAAAGACAAAAAAACAATAAATGGTTTCTTGGAATTATCATAAGCCCCACAGGGAAAAGAATACAACATTGAGTTAATAAGCCAAATATACAAAATAAAACATTGAGCTACCTTGTGAAGCGGACATTGCAGATGTTACACTCGTACGGTTTTTCGCCCGTGTGAGTCCTGATGTGACGTGGCAGTTTTCCTGCTCCCTGAATCACCTTCTCGCAGATTGGACACTTCTGGAATGCCTTTGCCCTCACTTTTTTCTCACTTTTTTTGGACCAGGAAGAGTAGCCTTCACCCTCAAAGGAAGGGGTGAAGAAATTCAAGTATGAATCAAGATCACTCTCTTCTTTTACCAAGTTCTTGTCATAGGACTCGTCAACTGAGTTTATGATCTGTTCTAGGAAGGCTCTGGATGAAATGGAATCGACTTCTTCCTTGTTTAGCTCCAGTTTCATCTCTTCAGCTGGGGTAAAGTTTGGGTGCATAGCCAGCTCTTGGTGTTCTAGAAAACCTTCTTCTTCATGGAGATTGACGTCAGGATAGTCTCCATTCTGCGAGGGTGAAAACGAAGGCCCAGTGATGTCCTCCTTCTTGATCCACAGCATGGATTTGTCCATGGTTTGGGTTGGCTGGTCATTTGTGGGCATTTCTGGATAGACCTCTCGTGCCTTCTGTGCCAGGTCTTCACTAACTCCATTTTTAAAGTGCGCTCTTGAAAGGTCTTTCAGTTCAAGACTTGGCCATTGGCTGTCCATGTGGCCATTGGCTGGAGGGCTTTGGAAGTACTCTAGATATTCTTTTGCTCTCAGGAGGTTTCTCTGATCAATTTGATCTACATAATCTATCTCCTTGCTGGCCAGGGCATTTGATACAAGGAGATCATGGCAGACGTTGCTCACACATTGGATTTCCAGCAGCCTCGCTGCATTTAAAATCTCATTTACATTTGAAGTGCTTATAGTCAGGGTTGCCGTGTACGCAAACTCCAACAGTGCCGAGAGAGCTTCTGCCGTGACAAAGTCTATTTCGTAAACATTCTGTTGGTCCACAATGGCCCCCAATGTGAAGAGCTTTTTGAAGTACTGACTGCAGGCTGCGAGGACAGATCGGTGGGTCCGAAATTCCTGTCCGTCCACTATGATGATAACATCACAGAGATAACCATAGTTCCTCTGCTCATTAAGACTACTAAGAATGTCACTGCTGTGATCAGGGAATGGGATACCTATAGGGCCATCTACTCCATTGGCCATTTTCATGGACAAAAGTCTGCAAGAGAAACAAAAAAAAGAGAAAACATTTAGTGGCATAATTGTGGTCGCATTTATAAAACTCTACTGTAACTAGCAGAATGGCTCATAAAAAAAAGATCTTGCATTTATACAACAAATTTCACACCTCTCAGTTCCAAAGTTCTTAATAGCCAGCTTATCAACTATTTTTCAAATGTAATCACAAAAACGGCAAACAATATGCACCCAGCAAACTCTCACAAACAACATGATGCTGATCAGACATTTCTTTTGCCATTTTGTTGGAGGCATAAATATTGGTCAGGATACCAGGAACACCATTTGCCTGTTTTTCTTCGAATACTATCATGTGATCTTGTATATCCAGATTGGGCAGGCCTTGGTTCAACCTTTCATACTAAAGCCAGCCTCTCTGGTGTTGCAGCACTCCCTCAGAACTGCAATAATGTGCTGTTGGACATTACATACTCACAATGTTCTGCATTAGAGGATGGACTGCTGTTTTCTGATCCATTGCTGTACTGTGTAAAGTGTAGTCCTATAATGCAATGCAGCAGAATTTTCTTGCAGAAAATAGAGCAAGATGAAACAGCAGGTTGAGAATTTTCAACACTAACTTGGTGCTTGATTGTGCGATGTCAACACGAATATGTGTACAGAAATTTCTCAAAATTAAAAAGAAATCATTTACACAGGATTGTGTGTATTAGGGTAGGAGCTTGGTTTAAAAAAGTTAGGATTGCAAATGCATTTCATATACACAATGTTGCTTTAAGTCCTTCCAAACTAGTACTTTTTAAAATAACTTTACAGGTTCACAGTTGACACCTTACACAAAACTGGGGAATGAATGGTTTTAGAACAGTCCCCTTTGACAGGGAAACTACCAGCACCAAGGTAAGACACTTCAAAAAACAATGAACGCACAACTTAAAGTTGCACATTACTTCAGGAATTCAACACTTTAAATTATCTTTAACCTGCCTCATTTGTTCCAGTGTCATCCTGCAGTGAATAGAAAATATTTATCTGTTCTCTTCTCAAAACAACTTAAAACTGCTTTTCATCTATTAATAAACATCAGCTACACAGATTTAGACTACAATGGCTGTAAGATCAGTGTTGAACAAATGACCTTTTCCAGCAGAAGATCCTGTGTTGCAGCCAGTTGTTTTGAAGACTGTGGATTAACTCTGATTTTGCTTTATACCTGTTACTGCACAACCTTTAACTAGACCAAACAGTTGAAGTGCTACCCATTGCTTCTCCTCAAGACATAACATGAAGAGCTTTAAGCATCTCAATCAGTCGCCTCTGATGTCAAAACAAACAAATATTTTTGTTTGAAATTGATGGAACATGATCTGTACTGACAGGTAAAGTTATAGAAAGATTTGATGCTGACGGAGGCCATTTGGCTCATTGTGCTTGTATTGGTTCTTTGCTAGAGGTATCTAAAGACTCCCACTCCTTGCTGCTCTCCTGCAATTATTACTATGTTGAATTTTCATTCATCAACCTTTCAGAGTGCGCATTCTGGATCACAATAACTCCTTTGTCATCTTGCTTCTGCTTCTTTTACCGATTACCTTGAATCCACATCCCCTGGTAGGAAACCTTTCTGCTACTGGAACCGTTTTTGACCTCATTTACTGTATCAAAATGCTTTGATCTCCTCAGAATCTCTCAAGGAGAATTCCCACAGATTCGCTGGTCTTGTCCTTCATTTGTGGTTCTACTCAAGAAAATCTCTCCTCCGGTTTCTCCAAGGCCTCAATATCTTTCTTAAAGAGGATGGCACACAAGATGCATCTGAATCCTTACCACTATTTTCTAAAGATTTTGCATAACTTCCTTCTATACACTATACCTCCATTAATAAAGCTGATTTCCTGCATTTTGAAACCATGCTTCTCAATTTATCCTTTGACCTTAAAAAATAGCGTACATCATCGTTAAGTATCTCTACTTTTTCATCCCACCTTTTAAAATTCCATTATTTTAATCTCTATTGTCTTTCCTCTTTCTTCCTACACTCCACCTGTGTGCATTTCAACAATCAGCGTAAGATTTAGGGACAGGAAGTGCAAACATTCAACAAAACCAGCTGTTATTTCTTTTCAGTCAGCTGATGAACAAATCACTCACTTTCACATTTGCACTATTTTCTCCATTCAAAGACTGGCCTATGCTTATCATGGTATTGGGAAATACTGGATATGGATTGATCAGTTAGGGGTGGTTCAGGTCAGCAGTTTACACCATGAACAGGTGGTAGAGACAGGCTTCATTAAAGCATTCATTTCAGAGGATATTACATGGTTACCCAGAATGTGCAGGGGTTACAGCAAAAAGATAGAAGATTGGCACCAAGCCAAAATGCTCAGACAACTGACACAGGCACAGGGGGCTGAATGGCCTCCTTCTGTACCATAACCCATTCTGAGAATATGCCTAGAGATTGCTTACGAGCAGATTTCCTGAAGTTTCCTTAATTGCTTTCGGGGGTTGAGCAGTTTCTTCCCACTGAAATTAGTTAACAATCCCCTCCAGTTCTGCTTTCCCTTAAACCTCCATGATTTAACATTACATCGTACCAACTGATACATTGCACAGTAATGGATTGGGTGGTCTTTGCCTGGTCTATACCAGTCCTTTCGAAACTATACACATCCATGACTGAATTACTGGCCATTTTCACACTGGTGTCAAATGTTTTCTGCTAGAAACTCTTCCTGTCAAATGCTATGCAACAATATCTGACACTTATATAGTGCCCTTCACATAACAAAATGTCCCAAGGTACATCATTAGAGTTATTGAACCAAATTTGAGACTGAACAACATTACGTGATCGAGAGAGTTTGGCCAACTTGAGAGATTTTAAAAGAATGTCTTTAGAGGAGCAGAGAGAGTAAAAAGATGAGAATTTTCAGAAGAGAATTTGAGTTTCAAGCTGAGCTGCATGATGGAATGATGGTATTAAGGGAAGTGTGAGAATCTTGGAAGCTTGAAAACCTGAAAGCTACAGAGCTAGGGAGGGCCAAGACCAGGGAAGGCTTTGCAAAAAAGAACTAAAACCTTCATATTAAGGCATTGCTGGACCAGGAACCAGCGTCAGTCGGGAAGCCCAGGGATGATTGGTGAATGAGACAAGATGATAATTAGGATGCCAGTCACATTGTTTAGGATGAGATCAATTTTTCAGAGAGATGAGATGATTAGTTTCAGAATACCATATCCAATTTATTATGAGAGATATTAAGGTCATTGGCATGAAAGAAACATAGCCAATATCCTCAATTGAGAAGTTAGTTTAAAAAGAGCACACCAGTTTGAGTCCTGAAGGATCAGCTCCAATGACAGAACATACTTGCATTGCTGAATGATTCCTCCTCCTCCCACACGGTTCCTTCTGTCTAAAAATCAATCACCTGATGATCTGTTCCATTCACTAACAAGTTGCAGAACACAAAGTCTCCTTCAGTCAAGCAATTTTCTTCAAAAGAGCTGCATTTCCTCTTTTTAAAAGAAAAGCTAGTTAATCCATTGCATCTCCCTCGTACCCTGGGTGAGATATCATTATATGTAATGGGGTTGTGAGTCTTCCTTGCAGATACCAACTGTAGGAAGGATATGGAAGCACGAGAGAAGGTGCAGAAAAGGTTTGAGAGAATGGTCCAGGGATGAGGAGCTCTGGTTATCAAATCAGTTTGGAAAATGTTGGGCTTGCTCTCCTCAGGGAAATAAAGGACTGAAAGGAGATTTAATAGACATACTTGTAATCACAGGGGTCGGAAACTGTTTCTAGTGGTTTGATGAACTAGAGGACACAGATTGAAGGTGAATGTCAAAGAATCAAAGGCGAGAGAAGAGAAATCATTTCCATGCAGCCTGTGATTAGGATCTGGTGTGTACTTCCTGAGGCTGGTGGAGGGAAAGTCAATCATAGCTTTTAAAAGGAAATTAGATAATTATTAAAAAAGAAAAAGAACTTAGGGTCAGGGAAATGGGAACAGGGAACAGGAATCAGACTTACTGAATTGCCCTCACAGATAATGGAAAACAATCCCCTTTTGTGCTTTAATGATTCTACAGTCTTTTTATGACAAGTTTATAAGCACAACCGCAGCAGAACCCTGCAGCACTCTTAGTAAAACCCGGAAAACACCATCTCCCAGCGAATTCCTGACTTCATTCCTGCCTAGGATTTTTCCATTAATCGCTGTTTCATGATTTGAAATATTGGAACTATTTGATAATGGACTCTGCTACTGCTAAGGCTCTTCTGAGCTATCTCTTCAGAGAGCTTCAGTGTGAATCTTAGTCAATGACTGGGATTCAAACTCCAGTGTCCTTCAAGCATCCAGCACTGACACAGCTCATTAAGCAACTTGCCCTACACCTCAGTATTTTTAATAAACTGCATTAACTAAACAGAACTTTGGCACATATATGAGTTAGTTAGATAAAATCAACAAAACATTGTACTTGTATGGCATTTCTAACTACAGCATCTCAAATTGCTGGCAATGTCAACAGAGCAAAATCTACACCAAGCCGAATGCTATGGGGGAACAGTTGTGGAGAGAGAGAGAGAGAGAGAGATACACAGACAGGAGAGAGACACAGACAGGAGAGAGAGAGAGAGAGAGAGAGAGAGAGAGAGAGAGAGAGACAGACAGGAGAGAGAGACAGACAGGAGAGAGAGAGAGAGAGAGAGACAGACAGGAGAGAGAGACAGACAGG